GCCTGTGGGCGGGGACTAGGAGTTTAGACTTTGTCCTGAGAGCAGTGGGGAGCCAGGAGTTTTAATAGATAGGAGTGACACAATCAGAATTGCATTTTTAAAAACTCCCTTTGCTGTTGTGTGCAGAAAGGATTGAGTGGCCAGACAGGAGACAGGGAGGTCCAGCAGGAGGCTATTACAGCACCAGCCAGGAGAATGTGGGGGCCTGGACTGGGGCTGGAGCTCTGGAGGCTAAGGGAAGTGGGCTAGTTAGGGATTAGTTAGGGGTGAATGCAATTATACCTACTAACTGGTCTTCCTGCTTCCACCTTTGCCCCTTACAGTCTATTCTCCATATAGCTGCCAGAGTGATCCTGGTTAAAACATAAAAGTCCAGGTATTGCCACTCCTCTGGCTTCTCATCTGAGTACAAACCAAAGTCCTTCCCGTGGCTTACAAGGTCAACAGGATCAGCCTTCCTGTCCCCACATCCCTCTGACCTCATCTACTGCTGCTAGCCATCTCACATACACCAGCCATTTCTTCATCGTTCTTAGGACTCGCTGGCACATGCCTCCTCTCCCTGCCCCACTCAGGGCCTTTGTATGTCCTGCTCCCTCTGCCTAGAATGTCATTTCCCCAGATACCCATCGAGAGGCTCCTCACTACCTCAGGTTTCTGCTCAAAAGCCACCTTATTTGTGAGGTCTTTCTAAATTCCTCATATGAAGGGATCTTCATATTCGCTACTGTGATAGCCTATTTATTTCCTTTATGGCATTGCTTATAATATTGGGTTGTCGTAAAAGTCATGAAGCATTTTTGCAACGAAAAACATAGAAAAAATACGTCATGACTTTTCTGACAACCCAGTATATATTTTTGTTCAAAATGTTTTCCTAGTAGTTAGCACAATGCCTGGAACATACTAGATTCTTAGTAAATAATTAGTTTAATAAGTGAGCTGAGGTTGAGGCTGCAGGAGGAAGGCACTTGCCCTCCAGGCCTTATCTTTGCTTGAGGCTTTAGGCAATATGCCAGCTGAAATCAGGATAGTGAGGTGAGGAAGGTGGTGAGAGGCAGGGAAGCCCAGGATGTGTGTGTGTGTGTGTGTGTGTGTGTGTGTGTGTATGTGAGGGTGGATGCTGGCCCCAGGGCTCCTGCACCTCTCAGTGCCTGGTCTAGGGTCTGGGCAAGACAGAGGTAGGTCTGGGCCAGGCTCTGACCAAGGAGATAACAGGTGTGCCAGAAGCACTGGACAAAGATGGAGGGGATGGGGTAGAGGGCATGTGGATGGGAACTACTAACTCTGCCTGGGGGTGGGCAGGCCGAGGCTTTGTTCTAGGGAGGGGACAATAGAGCTGGGCCTTGAAGAGTGAGTAGGAGTTTGCTGGACGAAGAAGAAAAAATAAAGGCATTTTGAATTTGAGAGAAGATCTGAGGGGTATGAAAAGGCAGATGGCTCAGAGAATGGTGAACTGTCTGGTGCAGCAGAGGAAGTGAGGCCTCTGAGGCCAGAGGCTTTAAATGCTAGATCTATAAATGATGGATCAGGGACTCCATTCTGAGGGCCCTGGGGGCTGTGGAGGGGTCCATGAAGGAAGGGAGTGAGAGAATCCTCCAGCTGCCCTGAAATGGGCCCCCGAAATGCTTAGGTGGCAGAACCCCAGGTAGAGTGATGGGTAGGATGGGATGGTTCATTGGGGTGAGGGTGTAGAGGATGATGTCCAAGTCTCTGGTTAGAAGAACCCAGAGGTCGGTCCAGCCGAGTGGCGCGATGGTTAAGAACTCGCTTGGGATGCCAGAGGGCCCCGGTTCGGATCCCACATATGAGGGCCAGTGACACTGCCCTCTACAGCTAAGATGCTGAACAACAGCTCAACCTGGAGCTGGGCAGCCATGAGTCGCCGGCGATGGCGTGGGCTGCAGTCCCTGTGACAGTGGATTGCCATGGGCTACCGTGTGTGGCCAGCAGCCAGCGTGAGCGGCCAGCAGCCGCAGTGAGCGGCCGTCCAGAAGCCGGCGACTGATCTGCCTCGCCAGAGAAGAGCGCAATGATGGTGCCAACTTGGGCCAGTGAAGCGACATCCTCCACAACTAGATTGGGCCAGTGAAGCGACATCCTCCACAACTAGATTGAAGAACAAAAACGACAGCAACTTGTCTGTTCCCCTTTCCCCAATTCCCCAGCACTGTTCCCATCCCCCCAATTCCCCAATAAAAAAAAATAAAAAATAAAAAAATAAAAAGAAGAACCCAGAGGTGAGGACCTGAGAGAGGGGCAGGTTTGGGGACAATAGTGATAGTACCATCTGGGCCAGGTGGGCTGAGGAACTCTGAGTTGGGGATCCTGGATCTTTGTCTCCTCCTGGAGACTCAGCTGGCCCATCTCAGGACTGGGACCCTGGGTCACAGAGACATTGTCCCACAGGGACCCTGTCGCAAGATTTTCATGTATCCCACATTTGGGTTCAGTTATGGCCCCTGGGCAGAGATGATGTTTGGGGGACTGGGCAGAGACCTAGCCTTTGAAGCAAGGAGAGGACAAATGAGCTTGACAGGTCTGGGAGCCATTCCTCTTAGCTTCTGTCTCCCCCACCCCTCACCAGGACGCCTACCTAACAAGGGCTGCTCTGGTTTGTGCATTCCTGTGAGGGTGGAGCTGATGCTTTTGGGGGTGCTAAAGGTGCCAAGGCGGCTCAAGGACCCCTCAATTTGGGTGGCAATCCCTGTCGGGGAGGGGTGATTGCGCGTCCCGGGATGAAGGAGAGTGTTGTCGGCGACTGGTGGACCTACAGCGAGGGGTGGGAGTGAGGAGCAGACCGAGTCTCTGTAGGTTTGCATTTGAGAACCGGGCGGAAGCCTGTGCTCGTGGCTCCTGTATTTTTCCACCGTTTCTGCGCCTAATGGCTTCCCTGGCTGCCTGTCACCCCCTCCGCTCCCGCCTACTGCTGGGTGGGGACCTGACCATGTTTGCACGAGAGGCGGGGTGAGGAGGGAGGAGCGGACTCTCCCACCGCCCCACCCTACTCGGGTGCTGCTGCGGGGCGCGTGAGTGTGTGTGAGCACGCGCACGCGCGCAGCACCGAGGTCGGGCCCTCAGTCAGCTCCAGGCGCTCACTGTCCAACCCCTTGCGGAGCAGAAGGAACAAGGGCGGGGCGCGGCGCGGCGGGAGTCACCCAAAGAACCAGGGCCCAGGACTCGAACCCCCTCGCCTCGCCTCACCTCTCAGGGGCACTTGCCCACTGCCCCGGCTTGTGCTCCCTCAGGAAGGGGAGGAGGCGGCTAGAGGAGCTTTTGACAGGAATCCTAGTAACAAATTAAAGCAGGAACATAAGATCTACGAGAAGAAAACAAATTGAAATGGACGAGAATGCGTACCGGCACCTGAAAAAATGGCACTATAAGCACGGATCGCAGTATTCCCCGGGAGGAAAGGACTCTATGCCAGTCCTCACCAAGTGACTCTGTAGTCAGGGCAACCCGTCACGGTTCAAAGAGGTTTGTTTGTTTCCGGAGCCTGACGTATTGAATCTAAACCTCTGACAATTGGATGTATACGAATAGCCTTGACATGTTTGTAAACGAAGAACAAGGAGAGATTGGCATATTAAACTCTAAAACGGTAGTAGTTAAACCAATGTGATACTGTCACAGGAATACGGAAATAGACCAGTGGGATAGAGTCCAGTAACAATGATTCTTACAAAAGTATGAAAAATTCCATCATTAAGAAGTTAAAGCTTGAGAAAAAAGAGTGAAGGGTTTAGAGCAATTCACACAAGAATTCTTGGATGGAGAGCATTCTGTTCCCCGCTGTCCGCTCAGCCCCCACCAACAAACACAATAAATGTTTGCTGAGTGAATGCTCACCACTGGTAATCAGAGAAATGCAACTTAAAGCAACTACTGGTCGTGTTTTACTTATCAGTTTGGCAAAAACGAAAAAAAAAGAGAAAAAAAGATAATGCCCTGTGTTGGCAAGCGCATGAGGAAATGGATACTGTCGTGTGCTGATGGTGAGAGTGTGAATTGATAACAGTCTTTTGTGGTTTGCAATAGTACAAAGTTGAAAATAGGATAAACGTACATTAATGGGGGTTCACTAAACAAACTGGGACTAAATAAACGAGGCTGCTTCCTGTCCCGAGCAAGCTGAGAGGGTAAATGCATGTGACCCAGAATCCAGTACGCGTCCTCTGGTGTGAACAGCCATAATTCACCAGCTTTGACACCATTTATATTTTCAAAAAGCACGAGTCTGTACCGACGTGTGCAACCGAGCCATGAAAGTCTCTTCCCCGCCGGGCCTGGGAAGAGGGGTGGAGTTTACCCTCGGTTTTGGAGACAGAGCATCGTGGAGGGGTGCGGCCCTAGGCGAGTGTTCTTTTCTTTCTAAAATCTTCCCCTCTCTCTCTTCCTCCCACCTCCCCCTTCTCTCCCCGCCCCCCTCTCCCTCTCCCCGCGCGCCCCCTGGTGGGGAGAGAACGGAAGGGGCAAGAAAAAGAGATCGCGGAGGGAAAAGAGGGACAACCCCAATAGGCAGAATGTCTGGAACACGGGGAGGCAGATTCCGCCCACGAGAGATCACGGAGTCACAAATCCCGTGGGACAATCCCTCCTGCGGCTGCTAGGGGCTGCCTGCACTAGTGCTGGTGGCCAGATGAGGCCTTTCCTGTCTATGGTTCCTTCGCCATACCTTTGCACACAGTTCTTTACCCTTTACAGCTCTTCCTCCTTATCCCTTAGTTCTCGACTGACACCTTCCCAGACTCCATGCAGGTCAGACCCCTTGGAATAACGTCGCCTTACAGCACTTCAGACCTCGCCTCCCCATGAATAGAATTGCCGCTTGTGATTTAGGTCTGCCATCCACCCAGGCTGTTGCCTCCTTGAGGACAGCATAGCACCTGTCGTGCTCCCCGTAATACTCAGTGCCTAGAACATGCTTGGCACCTGAACAGAGATTGCACTTGGGAGCTATGGCTTACGCTAGAGGGAGGCTGGCCAGAGCACTGACCTGGACGGGGCTGAGCAGAGTTTATTAGAAAGGCAAGGGGCAAACACATATTTACATGGGCTGCGCGGGGGCATTAAAAGAAGCAGAGACAAAAGGTTCCGGAAGAGGCTCAGACGAGTTCCACCTTGGCATTGGGGTACACCGCCACCACATCGTAGCCCTCGGGCGGCTTGACGCGCGCTTTGGCGTGGCTCTCGCAATAGAGCCGCTCGTCCAGAAAGAAATAACCGCGCTGCTTGAGATTCAGACCGCAGTCACTGCACATGAAGCACTCGGGGTGGTATAGCTTGTCCCGTGCCTTGACGATGGTGCCCCTGATGTGAGACAGGCAGAGGACAGCATGGGGTGACAGATTCGCCAGCACGCCCTATCCAGGGCGTCGGGTAGGGTCGGAAGAGCTGGGGTCCGGGTGGGGAAGGCAGGGGAGAGTACTCACACGATGCCGTGGCCGCAGCGCGTGCACTCGGGTAGCCCCTGCAGGCCACTCAGCGGGGCGCCCAACTTGCCAGTCGTGGGTTTGAGGTTTCGGGGGCCGCCAGGCCCCGTCCGCTCCCCTAAAAGTGGGGGCACGGGTGGCATGAGCCAGGTGCGAAGGACAGGCAGAGGTCAGAAAAGGGAAAAACTTCACTTCTGCAGGGTGTGAGGCTGGACCCTGCTTCTGGGTCCACCAACACAGAGACTGGGGAGGGAGTTTGGAGCGCAGCAAGAGGTGTGGGAACTTTGCAACGAGCTGGGGGAGGGGAGGATGGCTGGGAGGCAAGACGTGGGGTGCCACGGTTCTGCTGGGGGGGGCCCTCAGGGAGTGGGAAAGCAGGTGGGGTAAGGGCGGGGAGTCTTACCACCCTCCCCGGCCTCCAGCATGCCCTGCAAGTAGCGGAAGGAGCCTGACTGCTTGGGCTCTGCAGTTGGGGGCTCGGCCGGCTCCCGCAGCATCCTGTACACCTCAGAGCCCAGGTCGACTCCGCAGTCGCGGTTCCGCGGGAGGACTCTGGCTGGGTCAGTGCTGGGCGAAAGAGATGCACGAAGGGACAGGGTTGCAGTACCAGCCTTCAATCTGTCAGCTCAAGGGTCTGGTGAGGTTTCATAGGTCAGAATGCAAGCAGTTGAGAACCAGTGATTGTCAGGGGTCAGGATGGGACCTGGTGAGATGATATCTAGGTGTGGCTGCAAAAGCCACGGTCTCAGTACTACCTGTGGGGTGGAGACACGTGCAGGGTGCTCATCTGGGCCAATAAGGTGGCCTCACTGCTGCTGCCATTGTGAGGGACTGGGAGGCCAGGTGGCTGCCCATAAGGAGATCCCAGGCCTGGCCTACCATCTTCTGGCCCAAATCCTGTGGCTGAGGGCCGCCTGCTGGTCGCTGGACTGCCATCCTACAAGAGAGAGGGGCCTGAGGCACTGGGAGACCCTCTGGGGTAGGGCCTCTGGCCATTCCTAGTACACCTCCCCCTACCCTGCTATGCCAGGCCTTCCTGGATGTTGGCTAGCTACTCCTGCTTTGGCATCTCCAGGCGATGGTGCCCAGCCAGGGAGGGGATCTGTGGGGAAGGGCTGAGCCTTGGGCTTGGTTCAGCCCCTGCAGGAATGAGAAACGCCTGTGGAAAGTCAGACACAAAAACCTGAGTGCCTGAGACTCAGTCTTGGCTCATGAGCCCTGTGGTGGTTCTGAACACCAGTGCCCATGAGGGACGGTGTTGGGGCAGGACCGTCCCAAGAAGCCTTTTAAGGCCAGCGTGGCTGGAGCAGTGTGTGGCTTCCTTGTAGAGGCGGTCCTGGTGCCAAACCTTCCTACCTCCCAGAACTGTGCTAGGTACCGGATGGGCTGGGAACACAAAGAAGGAACTCCTATCTTGCAGTCAGGAAGAGTCATCAATCATTTTGTGCCCAAGGCCCTTTGGTGGGGCCAGGCTGAGGTTCAAGGGTGCCATTGAGAGGCCAGTCCCCTCCAGGCTTGTACCTCTGCCCCCATTTTCTGCTTTCTAGGCCAAAATGGTGGGCTTCTGTAGGCAAAATGGGGGCAGAGGCTGGGCCAGGGCTCAAGGCTCCCCACTCCACGACCCCATGGCCAGCCTGATGCCATGCTGAAACATTTGGGGGAGGAGTGCCCTGAACATGCCTCCTCAGCCCATGAGAACAGGGCAGTATCTCTGGGTGTGTTTGAATGGGGACTGGGGATGTCTGTCCCTGCAAAGTTCAGGCTATGTTGCCCCTAGCTTGCAGGCATATGTCCACAGCAACACAGGCACATGCACTCTCACAGTACATTTATAGACATACACGTGCACGAAGACAACACACACTAGCCAGTCTGCCCACATACACCGTCACACACGCATGGTTACATATACTCAGTCACTGCTGGTGACCCTGGGGATGACCATGGTGGCCTCCAGGGCTGAGAAGAGGTTGGTGGCCTGAGCAGCGTGACTTTAGGGTGGGGCCAGAGGGTCCAGGCTGTGAAGGTGGTCCTAGCCTGAGGCTGGGAGGAGACATGTAAATTTCCCCTCTGCTCTACAGTGTGGACATGGAGGCTAGGTGGGGAGGAAAGGATGCCCAACGTAGGGGAAAAGAGCCAGGCTTGGAGTCAGGCAGCCGCCAGCAATGGGGCACAGTCAAGCCTGCAGGGCTTTACCCCAACTGCCCCTGCTGTTTACAGACTCTGAGCTAAGTGGGAGCTTGAGGAATGAATGGACCAGTAGCTGAGTGGCGGTGGCGACCCCACTTCCCCCACTACAACAGAAAAAGGGGAGGGTCTCTCACTGCCTGGGTGGGCCCCCATCAAGGAGGCAACAGCAGGAGGAAAACCCTCATTCCCATTGGGCCCAACAAGAGCCCCTGAGAAACCCGAGCACTCTCGCACATGTGTCTGCAGGGCAGGCAGGCAGGCAAGCTGGCCTGTCCTTTAATGGGGACCAGATGGGCCATGGGCCATGGGGGCAGGGCCGGGCCGGGCTGGGTATAGAGGAGGCTTCAACAGGAAGGGGAAGTCAGGGCGATCTGAAGGAAGGAGGCCCTCACTCACCCCTCGCAGCAGGGTGTGAGAGTCTATTGCAGGGTCATCAGAGCCATTCCCCTCCCACAGCCACCCATGCAGTGGCCTCTCTAGGTCTGAACTCACTGGTTAGGGCGCACATGGTGGCCTTGGTCTCGGTTTAGGCTCAATTCTATCACTCACTAACTGAGCAAGTCACTTCCCTTCTCTGAACCTCAGTTTCTTCATCTGTGAAACGGGGAATATGGTCTCAATATCATAAGTTCCTTGTAGGGATAAAAATAGACAGTTGCATACAAAGTACTTAGCATAGTGCCTGGCACACAGCAAATGCTTGTTGGGGGAATGGCTATCATGGGTGTTCCCGAGCCCCATTCCTGGATTCCCCTCTCTGCGTGGTGTGTCCCATGTGCTCCCCGTCTCTGAGGACCTAGCAGCTGCTGATTGGGTTGTTGAAGCCTCAGCGGGTTAGTCAGCAGAATGGACATGACTGCCTGCTTGCTCATCAGCTCCCACATGACTGTGATCAGAATGTGGGACACTCAGCTAGGATGTAGGTGGATGCTGAGAATAGATGAGCAGGTGGCACCTCCCAGAGGCCAAGCTCCAGCTCTCTGTCAGTCTGGAGGGAACAGGCTGCGTGTTCCCTTAATCCATCACCTGGTTCTCAGCTTAAATGCCATCCTCTCCAGGAAACTTTTCCTTATCACCATCCTTCCTCCAGTCTGGGCTGTGCCAGGTGCCTCCTGCGTTCCCATGTGAGGCCTGACAGGAAAGTCTTCTATAACCCCACGTGGAATGTGGGCCTGAAGCTCCACTTGGTCCTGTCACATCCCACTTGGGGGTGCGTGCCAGAGTTCCTTGTGCTGGTCTTAGGGCCAACTGTGGTTTTCTCCTCCTCTGATGGCTCCAGCTGGGCCCACCCTCCTCCCCACTGCAGGCAGAGAGTGGGCGCAGTGTGGGACAATGGGCCCTGTGTCTGTGTTACTGAGGATACAGCCCTGCAAGGGCTGGGTGAGGGTGTTCCTTTCGCCACCCATGGAGCTCATGACCTTTTAAGTACAAAAGGAAGGCCGCAGCTGAGGGGCTGCCCTGTTGCTTGTGGAAAATCCCTCTGCTTCCACCCTGAGCAGCCAGGTCCTCAAGGAGGAGGTCGGTAAGGGAACATGTGGGGGCAGGCGGAGTTGCTCTCCAGCCCTCAGAACCCCCAGGCCTCCTGGCCCTGAGCCTCTACTGGAGCACTGAACAGAGCAAGCTCAGTCCCCTTTGTCCTATCCATCCTGGCATTGAGCCTCATAAATGAGCTGGGGGCCTGCACTATGCTGCTCCCCGCTGCCTGGCCCATGTCAAGCATGGCGGATTTGTCTATCCCCTCCTCCCCCGTCCCCACTCCATGGGCCTTGGGTCCATGGGACTCTACCAGAGCAAGCTTCCCAAGCACAGGTGTGGCCACGAATCTCTGCAAGAACAGAATGGACATAAGCAGGCCCAGGAGGCCATGACCCTACATGCTGAGGTCCTGCATAGAGGAAACCAAGAGCTTCTTGGTGGCCCTGCCCCATCACCTCACCCCTCACCTCTAACTTCACTCTCTGGGACCTTTCTTTCCTCTGAATCTATGGTGCACAGTCTCACCTCTGGGCCTTTGTATGTGCTTCCAGACACACTTCTTCTGTCCACACCCTTTCCCCTGCCTTATTCTTCCTAGGCCTTCAGGTCTTGGCTTGGATACCCCCTCTTCCAGGAAGCCCTCTTTGATCCCTTGAAAGAGTCAAATGTCTACTCTGGACTCCATAGGCCCCTGGTTTCTACCATCCCAGAACTGCTAAGTGCCTCTTCCCTCCAGAACAGGCACTCCCTGGTATGTGGTAAGCATCTGGCCTCAGGAATGCCAGTAAAGACAAGGTAGGGAACAAATGTCAAAGCGAGAAGAGGACTGGGATAGATGGTAAGGGAGAAGCCACAGTAGATCCTTCCCTCTGATACAGCGAAGCCTCCACGGCAAGAGAGTGGACACAAGCAGGCCCAGGGTCCTGGCTCCATCACACACCAGGCCAGTCTCCACCTTGCCCAAACTCTGTGGCACAGATGTCGACCTGGCCCTGGGTACCTCAGTCTTGCCCACTGGCTGTTCCTCTAGCCCATGGCAAAATGAGCTCCCACAGCAGCCTGGCCCCCTCGCTATCCTTGGGGATGGCAACAGAGCTGTGACTCCTGTCATACACAGATGGGCCTGTAGCCTGAGGTCTGCTAGGTGCAATCACAGGATGGCCAAGAGAAAACCTCAGCTTTGGATAGGGCAAGGGAGTGCCTTACATTCTAAGGTCAGCCTTGTGACCTGAGGTGGGCTCTGGCCAGGTGGGTGCCTAAGGCTATGATGAGACAGAAGAGTGCCCCGTTGCCTGAGGTCGCTCCACATGAGGTTATCCCCCCCAGCCCACCCCCAAGCCTGGGGACTTCCTCCTGGTCTGGTATCACTGAGCATCGGAGTGAAGCCCAGCTGGGAGGGTGGTAGCCCTGAGCCAAGGCCTGGCCCAGTCCCTCCTCACCACAGACACCTTTGTTTCAGAATCCAGGACTACCTGGGGTATAGGCACAGCCCCTAGCAGGTACCCATCACCTGGGGAGCATAGGATGGGGCATGGGCGTGACCCAGAGAAGCCTTCTGCTTCAGTCTGGCTTGGGCATCTGAGAGCCTCCAATGCTGAGGACATCCAATGCAGTTAAACCTGTGGACCAGGCCTGGCCCCTCTGCCCTGGGCTTGCTCTGAATATGTACATACCTGGGCCTCAGGGTCAATGTGGATCCTGTGTGCCTGAGCCTTGCTGTCATCTGGGGCACTGGGCCAGCTCTTGCCTTCAGGCCTGTGGCAGGAATTAGGATGGTCAGATATATCTGCTTACTATGCCCACCATGCCTGGGAACCAGGACCAAGAGGGGCCGGGCTCTAGGCCCAGAGCCACCCAGGACCAGGCCTGGCACCCTGCACAGCGAAGGACACACCAGTGCTTTCCCCTGCACTAGAATGGCGGTTGCTGTAGCAAGGAGACACAACTCTAGATTTGCCACTCACCTGGGACGGGGCTGTGTGTCCCTTCCCCACCAGCTACTCCATTCCTCTGCGGTTTGGTTTCTATAGAGGAGCTGTAGCTTCCCCGCTCTTCGACCTTCTCAGTGGCCTATGGGAGCTCAGTAATAAGAGAGCCAGCTCCTGGCAGGGCGAGCCAGGGCTCACACTTGCATCAGCTAGGAGTGCATCCCCTCATCCATCCCTTTCTGTCCACAGCCTCCAGCCAGGCCTGGGGGTCAGGCACCCACAGGCTCTGGGGGAGGTTGAATAGAGACTCTGAGGGGTGAGCCTCCCTCCTCCTGCTGCCGGCAGAGTCATCACCAATGTCTGCCCAGCCCAGATGGGAAACAGGCCATTAGGAAATTCCTACTTCACCATAGAAACCAAAAGCCAAACACCACTCAGGAGGAAGAAAAACATCATAAACCTGCCATAAGCAGGGCAGACAGGGCCGAGAGGCTACAGGCCTGGGGCCCAGTCCTGCCACTTAGTAGCCCTGGGAGAAGGCAGGTCAGGAGGGTGCATGGACCTTGGACTGAAGAGTGGGAGAGTAAGTGAGGCTGCTTAGATCAAAGGGGCATAATGTTCCCACTCCACCCCAAAAGGCCTCCTGGGGCTTCTCTAGGTCTCATCACTGGACCAGCAGCTCAACCTTACCTCTCTCCCCAACTCGGCAGAGGGTTTTAGCAATCTGTCTACACCTGTAGTCCACACTCACTCTGCACTTCCTCATCTCTGCCCATTCCTTGACCCCCCTTCAGGCTACCTCTCTCCCACACAGCCTTCCAGAGGTCTGCGGCACCAAGGCTTTACTGCTCCGGGACACCACCACCCCCGCTGGCATCTGGCTCCGGCCTCCTCAGCCAGGCTCCCAAGTGACTCCCCCAACTTACAGCTCTCACTGTGGCCTCCACCCACTCAGAACTCTGCTGGGGTGAGTCTAGAACATCTCAGGTGGCTATCTGGCCTCATATTTCCCTGAAGTTCTGCCCGGAAAAGAAGTACAAGCCTGAGGTCTGAAGGTCAGAGGGCACAAAGGACCCAGGGCCAGGAGAGTGGCTCAAGGTATCAGATCAGATTGAAGGGCTTATTCTCGTGTCCACCTCCATCTCCAGGCCTCCATTTCAGGCTGGGCAGGTGGCTCCATCCGCCATCTTTAAGCAAAATGACAGCCAAAGGGTAGGCTGTGCAAATGCATCTTGTACCACACATAATGGGCGATAGAGGCCCCACCAGAAGCCCCAGGGTTGGAGCTGATGCCAGAAAGGTCCTGGACCTACAGAACATGCCCAGAAAGTGTGGGTTAGCTTGAATTGCTGGACACCAGGCTTTAAGTTCCAGACAAAATAAGCATAACAGGAACACTGGGCCTTCACTTTTCATCCTGTGGAGATGTCTGTGGAGGGTTAGAGCCCTCTGCACACAAGAAGCCAGGCAGGGACGCTGGTCTGGGTAGAGCCCATGTTGGGGGGGGGCGGGTCTACCCATAGCATAGGTCCTGGCACAGCAGGCAGGACAGAGAGCAGGGTCAGAGGCCTTGCAGATGAGAAGATGCCCAGGAGAAGAGACGCTGGCCCAGAGGGTCTAGGTGACCCCCATGTCTTGATAACCCAGAATCTATATGTGTGAGAATTGGGGATAGGGGCTGGAGGACAGGACCCCAGGATTCACTCTAACCAAACAGACCTGGTACGTCATCGTCACTCAATCCCCAGATCACAAGACAGCCCCGCTTTTGGAGCTGAGGAAGCTAAGGGCTCTGAGATTAAATCACTTGCTGGAGGACAGCAGTTCACAAGTGCAGAGCTGGGACTGGAACTGTGAGAGGAGAGAGTGTGCTCACACCTGCTCCATGGCCAGGCAGCATCTGGGGGCTGAAACGCCCAGAGCAGAACAGGTCAGTGGACCCCTGGCTCCATTAATGCCTGGTTTGGAACAAATGACCAGGGAAGGAAGGAAGGAAGGAAACGGCCCCTCCACCCTGCCCCGACCCTGCCACTCTGCCCTAACATCATTCTCTCTGGAAACCTCCTGATTCAGCCCCGCTGTGAGCCTCCCCACCCCCACCTCTAACACTACCACCAGGGCTTCCCTTGTTCGGCCACGAGAGTCAAGGCCAGAGGTGAGTCAGGCAGGAACCCAGCCAAGGGACGACCTCAGAGGCCATTCGTGGGCAGAGTGCCGATGTTTCCCCCAGCCAGCCTGTACCTCAGTCTGGGAGAGGGTGATGAATGTGATCCTGCTTTATGGAGGAACCCCAGGCTCACAGAGGTCATCTGGGGGTACCTAAGACCTACAGAGTCTGGATGAGGACCAGCTCTGCTCAACTGCCAGTCTGGGGCCTCCTCACTTCCAGATGGGCCCACTTACCACCGAAGGTACAGCTACGGGACCTGGACCTGGGCCAGACACAAACGGGCGAATTCAGAAGCCTTCCCACCATGTTTAATGGCTCCGAGCCAATGGATCACCCCCCATCCTGCCATGTCTAAGGCATGATTAGCTGTGTTGTGGTTTGGGGAAGCTTCTCCCACACACACCCAGAGGGGGTCATGGAAAGTCCCTGTGAGCAGTGAATGTGGCAGAGCTCAGCAGTTATGTCTGACTTCTCTAAATCCAGGCAGGACGGGGGGCAGGGAGATCCCACTCAGCCAGGACCCAGCCAACTGCCATCAGAGCTGAACAAAGAACCTAAGCAAAGCTGGAGATACCCCAAGTAGAACTTCCATCCCAGACCATCTACAGGGCACAGATGGGGCTTGGTGACCCCCAGTCCTCCCTTTCATGATGGGCTGTATAGCATGACACAGTCCATGGCATCCAGATTTAACCAGGGCAGAAACACAGGCTGTAGCAGGGATAGCTGAGGCAGAGCAGTTGTGGTGCTGGTAGGAGTGGTCAGCAGCCACATAAGAGTGCAGTCTGGGAGTGAGAAGGACTTGAGGTCAAATTTTGCTTCCCAACTCCCTCGCTGTGTGGCTTTAAGCACCCTCTAGTCTTGCTGAGCCTAGTTGTCTCACCTGTAAAGTGGAGATTATATAACATTTTACCTTATCAAGTTGGTTTGAGAGTTAAACAAGGTGTTAGATAAGAAACTTCTTTGAAATGGTCATCAAGCTGGTCACTCAGGGGTGGGGAAAGATTGATGACACTACCCATGCTCCCCCCCCACCCCAGGCTACTCCATGTCTTATTTCAGCGCTGATTTTGGGCTATTTCCCCCCTGCCATAAGTCCCCCAACATACTTCCAGCCCTGAGTTAAAAGAGAACTTCTTCCCTTCTTAAGCCACCCCCATATTCAGCATCTGCCAGGCCCCCGTGAAAGCACTACCCCTTCGAACTGGGGTGCCCAGGAGCTGAGGCAGAGAGGCTGTGCAAGGCCCAGCTCACCTAGGATGCTGGGCACGCTTAACTTCTCCTGCCTTTAAATTCACCCTCTGCCCCCCATTCTCCTGGTCTAGCCTGCCCCATGCGTACCTGCTCACAGAGAGCGTGAGGTGGTCATGGCAGCCTTTGATGCGGTTCTGAGCCTCCAGGTGTGTCATGAGCTCTGTGCTCTCACCATTGATGGCCTGGATCAGGTCTCCAGGGCACAGGGCAGCCAGTGCGGCCTTGCTGCCAGCATGGACCTGTGGGTTGACAAGTCAGATGACTGGGGATTGGTCATTGTATGGCCTTGCTGCAGCCCTGCTCTAAACACAAGCAACTCCAGCACTTGGAGGTCCTGGTAGGGTGTGAAGGCATACGAGAGGGACTTCCTCTGGGCTGGGATGTCACTCCTGCAGCCTGTAAATGTACCCAAGGACATGAAAGGGATAGATAGGGACACATGTGCCCCTAGATACATACAAAGCATGGACATGCCACAAATACCCTACGTAGACAGTGCCCCACCCAGCCAGACCTCATAGCAATCCCTTGACCCAACATTCCAACCCTTAGCGACCTTGGCTCCCTACCTGTTTCCTCTCATCCCCATCCACATTCACCTCCACCCACCCACACTCTATCCAGACAATCTGAATGTCCAGGGAGTACTCACGGGCACCAGGTATCTCTCACCTCCACCCTTCCACAAATGCTGTTCCCTTTACCTAAAACATCCTTTCCCTTGCCCCCAAACCCTAATTACCAGCTCTCTTCCTCATCCTTCAGGTCTCAGCAGAGAAGCCGCTTCCCCTGGGAGCCTCTCCTCTGGGCTCTCACAGTTCCCTGTGCATCTCCTGTACCACTTGGCTCCCTTAACACTGTTAGTGCTTCCTTCTAGGTCTGAGTCATCACCTCCCCTGACAGGTCCAGGGCCATCTACTTCCAGCTGCCAGCCTGCACTCCTGGGTCAATTTCACCTCTACTTCCTCTGCAGGACAGGCACTCACTCAGGCCACCCCAGTATTACTATTGACCCCAGAGGGTCAAGCAGGGTTCACATCTGGGATCTCTTACAATGTTGGTCCCCTGATCAGGACCACATGAGGTTGGGGATGGGATCACAGGGAGGCCTAAGTAAGCAGCTCAGGGAAATTCAGGCAACAGGGCATCCTTCACTGCCCCCGGTCTTGCCACAGCCTTTGGGAATACACTTTAGGCACCCTCGTTCTTACCCAGCCTCTCAAGCAGTGCCAAGCTGTGCCTCAGGAGCTGCCAGGGACCCTGTTTCTATTCGTGGGGGTGGGAGCTCCTGGAAGCCTGACCAGGCTCAGCTTAGCCAGTTCTCAGTAGTGAGTGGACAAAGATGAGGTGCTGGCAGCTCCTTGGCTGGAGTACTGGTGTGGGCATTGCCCGAGCTGACCTGCCCTGAAATAGGCTGCCCCAAGGAATGTTCTTCTGGAGCATGACACCTTCAGCCACCAGCCACCATTAATGTTCACTCGTAGGGCCTGGGCACCTGCACGGGCCTGTCCTCCTGGAGGAGGCGCCCAGTTGGCTCCATCCCACCCCCTCATCAGCGCCCTGCTCCAGGCCCCCTCTTCTTCATGGAAACCTGCTCTGTGACATTGCCTGGGCTCAGTGCTTTACCCATAACTAGCTAAAGGCAACCTCTCAAAGCACCTGATGAGACAGAGGCATTCTCAACCCTATTTACAGACAAAAAGAAAAGAGGCTTGGGGGAGGGGCACCTTGCCCCAGTCCCCACGCTGGAGAGAGGAGTCTTTTTCCTCAGGGGGCCGGCTAGCTGCAGGATGACTCAGTCAGCACAAGGGCGCATTCAGGCCCCTGTGGGTGGGGGAAGTTCTCGAAAGCAGAGGTGGCTGAAACTCTGCCAGCTCCACTAGCCCAGAGAGTTCTGGTCAGAGAGGGCTAGAGGCCAGGAAACGGTGACTCTCCCAACGGTTGCTTTTCCATGCATTGTCTCATTAATCCCCAAGGCAAGCCCATTTGCTAGATGAGATGACTGAGGCCCAGAGAAGTACAGAAGGACATTCAATTGATAAATGGAAGCTAGAATTTCAATCCAGACCAACTGGCTCCAAGTCCTATGCTCTTAACTACAGTGTGCTTTTTTGCAAAAAGGGAGGCAGGGGAGAGAGTGCCCCAGGGGAGAATGTCCCAGGGGAAGGATTAGCATGTATAACGGCTTATCTGGGAGAGAGAAAGTAATAGCAGGCTCCTGTGGCCCAAGAAGCATCCTTAGTGAGGAGAGAGTAGAAGAGATAAAGTTAGAGAAGGAGCAGGGGCCAGACTTGTGGGCCTTGTAGGCTCAGGTGAGAAACTTGCATTTCTCCTGGGTGGATGGGAACCATGGAGGGTTCTAAGCAGGGAAGTCATAGGACAGAGTTGAATCGAAGCAGATCCCTCTGGCTACTAAGCGCAGAGTAAACAGACAGAAGGAAGGGAGAGGGGAGCAGTGAGTCAGCTGGGAGGCTGGGGCGTGAACCAGCCCCCTCACCTGTAGCAGCTATATCCTCAACCCCTGCTCCACTCCACCCTAGAGAGTCAGGTGCCATATTGTTCCGCACAGTCACAGCAAGCTCCATACAGGCCTGGATTCCTGCCCCCTGCTCTGCTTCTCTGGGTACATCACCTTAGCCTCTCTGAGCCTCAGTGTCCCCATCTATAACGTGAGATCAGAGGGAGTCTTTAGTTCTAAGCACTTTTGTGAGGACTATCTTAGGTGATCAGGGCAAAAAGTTCCCACAGGGGGGTTGGGCACATGGTGGTGCTCATTCCAGGCACTGGTTGCTGGGGAGATGGGACCAACACCCTTTAGGGTGGGGCCTGGAACTCTGGATGCTCCAAAGCCAGCAATCTAGTTTGTGGGGAAGAAACCCTAGACAGTGTTCTTGGGGAGCTTCCTGAGTCTTCATGGGCTGAGGTGCAAGGCCCCAACTCTGCCAGGCAACCAGCCTCCTCCCTGTCTGAATGTGGCCGTCCCCACTGGGTGAGGGGAGCCCTCAAGCATGGGAGGGTTGGGTCTTGAACCTCCTTGGTGAGGACACTCCCACTTATTGTCAGTGTCTGCAGACCTCTCCTTGAGGTACCTGCTGGGCAAGCCGTGGCCTGTGTCTCCTAGCCCCGTAAATCTCCTCAGATCCCACCCAAACCCCGGCTCAGCCATCCTGGCTCCTCAGGCCTGAGCTACAGCCGTGTGACTTTGGGGAACAAGGGGGGTTCTTCCTGGCAAACCCTATTCCAGCCTGCCTGCCTGCCTGCCTGGGGCCTGCATCCCGATCAGCTCCAAACAAGGCCGCCACTGCTGCTGCTGTGACGTGTGGAGGCCTTTCCTCGGCGGCAGGCAGCCGCGTGGGCAACAGATGTCTCTGCTCCCTGCCGCCTGCGGCCGTCAGCCGCTGCCACTGAGCCTGTCAGCGGCCTCACGCCCAGGGTGCCTGGCCTGCCGGCTGGCCTAGCACCCCCACCAGCCCACCTCTGCGGACACACAGCATCACACACACACACACACACACACACACACACACACACACACACACGCAGACACTCACATTCACACCACCCCCAGCAGGGCTCCCTCCGGGAAATGAGAGATGCAAAGCTCCCGGATGTGTTGAAGGCCTACCTCAGTCAGCCCCAAGGACCTGGTGGTGTGGGGTGAGGGCAGATGTGGGAAGTCTCCCAGGACAGCTGGGCCTGCCTGTCACCCTAGCCCCCAGAAATGGGATTCCAAGATTCCACATTCCACCGGGTGCCCACTCCCCTCCCAAGAACTGGGAAGAAGGGTCTGAAAACCCAGCCTGCTTGGTCCAGTCCCCATGGCTAGAGGTAGTGGTAGGGTGGGGGAAGGTGGTTCTCAGTTCCCCTGACACAGGCCCCCGAAGGCCAGAGCAGCTGTGTGGGGGCAAGGGATGGCTCTCAGATGGCCCCAGGACCCTTTCTCTCTTACCTCCAGACTGGGAGCCCCCAAGGACAGAGCCTGGGTTCTTTTCTCTTCTGTCCCCTAGGCTGGGACACCCAGGGGCAGGGTCTGAGTCCCCTCTTCTGGCCCTTCAAACTATGGGACCACAAGACTGGGCCAGGATCCCGTCTCCCTCAGAATGGGCAGCCCCTCTGACCGTGCCCGAGCCCTGTCCTCTGCTCCTCTGCCCTCCTCAGATTAGCCACCGCCCAGGTGTCCCCTCCTCTTTCCCCTCTGTCCTCAGTCTGGGACAGTGCATGGCCCTGGAACCTTGAGGAAGTGGGCTGAGGCTATCCTGGCCCCTGGCCTTGTGCTGTCTTGTGGGGAGAGCTCATAGTCAAGTCTCTCCTTCTCCTGGAAACAAAAAACTCCTCCTGGTCACTTTCCCTTAGGTCAACTGAGGTCATTGATGAGAGACTGAGCAAAACCAGAGTAGGGAAGTGGATGGATCTTTCTCTTTTCAGATTCAGGAAGGACCCCAGACCTCTCTGGATACCCCAGTTCTACTGGCGGGGACCCTTGATAGGGGAAGGGGGCTCTCAATCATTTTGCCCCAAATCTTCAGGCTGTGTTCTAAGCAGCATTTCTGAGCTTCTGTAGATCTGCCCAGACCCCTGACATATAACTGCGGTCTTCCCTGGCCTGCAGAGACACCCCCAAAAAGAGGCCAGCAAGGAGACTAGTGTGTGAAGTCTTGGGGCGATCCTCCAAGGGGTAGGGAAGGCAGGCCCAGTGGGAGGGAAGAAAGGGGGTTGGGACGATCTGCCCTGCCTGGAGGCCTCCTCTACATTCTGGGTGACCAAGGGTCACCCAGGTCAACCCTTGGCCTTCGAGACTCAAGGACGTCGGGGATCCTGGTCCCGGGTGGACCGGGAGAACTAGGTCTCAGGTCTAGGTCCGCCCCACCACCCCATGGCCGCCAGACTCACCCGCGAGATGGTGAGAGGTGCGCTGAAGTCCCGGCCGCCCACCAGGCGGAAGCCCCAGGGCGAAGGGCCGCGTAGGGTCACGGAGTGGGGCATCGCGGGCTTG